TAGTGAGAACCCACTGGTCAGTCTGCTGGGGCCTGATCAGATCCTCTCCTCCCATTAAAATATCTACCCTGCTGGAAACCTGCTGGAAGTCACTGTAAATCGGAACCCTCTGGAAAGCAGCTGGCTTGGCTTCATGTGGTCTGATGGCAAGGGGACATACTGGCACATTGGGTTAGCATCAGACTGCTAATGCAAGGGTTGGCAGTTTGAACCCACTTGATGCTCTGGGGAGGGGGGAAGATGAAATAGTTGCTGTGAGGATGTTTAGCCTTGAAACTCCGAGGGCCGTCTGTTGAGCTGTTTTGAGTCAGGATTGGCATATTTGTGAGCTGTGGGCTTGGAGGTTTGCTTTTTGGATCTGATTTCCTATGTTCCTCTCATATAATAAAATTTTCAGTACTGAGTTGCTTTCACAAACTATCTTCTTATAAACAGCTTTCTTTTGAGATAAATCCTTAAATACATTTTCTCTTTTTTTATGCATATAAACTAGAAGATTAGGTGCCTATGTACGCTCAATTTAAGAAAAGCCTTTCTTAAGATTTTAATTAAATCAGACACACAAAATGATAAAAGCTCTTCAAACGCCTTTCCTTCAGAACTCCAGGCTTCCATCTCTGTTTTCCTCGCTCTTTGTGAAAATCATCGACTTTGAGACTCCTCGAGATTTCCAGGCTTCTTCCTTCCTTTCTTTTTTTTTTTTTTTAGGCTTCTTTCTTACTAATGATTTCCGTAGGTGTAACCTTCACAATTCATTTTAAGTTGAAAGCTACTTGAAATGGTTTAATTAAACCTTTAACTGAGTAGTAATTGATTTATTATTTTGGGCTCCCTTTATAACAAGAAGGTTCCTAATTCCTCCAGTTTATTTTATAGCCTTTTAATCTTTCTTACTCCTGTAGGAAGTGGTCTGCTGAAGAACCTCTTACTTCTCTACTTGCCTATCAGATCTCTGGATGTGACCCAGGGAGGACTTGTCTAACCGACCACGCTGAGCCGCAGCCTGTTTCTCACACACGCTCACTCGTGCATGCGTGCGTCCATGTGAGTGTGGGACGTGTGTGAGTGCATGTGTGACTCAGTTATTTGTGAAAGTGTGTGATTGTATACCTGGCTGAACACATGGATGTGTGATTGTGCTCTGTGTGTCTGTGTGATTGTCTGTGTATGTGAATGGCATTGTGATGTATTTGTGTGTGAATGTGATGTGTGTGTGAATGTGAGCAAGTGTGTGTGTGTGGTGTGAGAGAGTGGGTATGTGTGTGTGAGAAGGAGTGTGTGTGTATGTATGTGAGAAGGAGTGAATGTGTGTAGCATGAGAGAGTGCGTGTGTGTGGTGTGAGGGAATGTGTGTTCTGGGTGAGTGTGTATGTGTGTGTGTGGAGTGTGAGGGAGTGTATATGTGTGTTGTGGGTGAATGTGTGTGTGTGTAGTGGAGGCAGTCTGTGTGAATGTGCATGTGGAGTGTGAAGAGTGTGTGCACCTGTGTGTGTGGTGCGGGCACTTGCCCATCCTGATGGAGGCTGGGGAGGGACTCCTGACCACCTTGTTCTGCCCCTCCACCTTCTTCCCCCTCGCGCCCATGTGCCATCTCCTCTCCCATCTCCTTAATCAGCATTTGTGCTGATCGTGTCCTGAGCTGTGTAAGTGCTGAGGGCGGTGGGGACCCTGCACTGTCCCTGTAGGTCCAGCCGACTGTGGGTGATGTTAGGCACAAGGGCCATTTCGGGGCAGTGGAGTTAGGGCTCCTTTGGGGGCGAGTGAAGTTCATCAGCCTGGTTCCCATCAGAGAAGCCCCCAGGGGAGGCTGGTGTCCACATTTAGCCCCATGCACTGTCTCCTGAGCGATCAGAGATCCGAGTGTCTCCAGGCCCTCTGATCGGATTGCTGGCCTGGGCGGACCCAGGAGCCCTCTGCTCCCTGGTGGGTGACGGGCTGGCAGGAGAGGGAAGGGCGCTCACACTGTGACCAGATGGACCCAGGCCCCGGCCTCAGCTTCTGCCTCATCCCAGGCTGGCACACGAGATGCCTCTGTGTGATGACAGAGAGGTGTCCCTGCCTGGCCAGCCGGCTGGACTCAGGCACCTTTTCAGGCGTAGACACCCGGTGGATTCAGACCCTGCAGCAGGGCCTCACGGGCTCATTGTCCTGCAGACTGCGGAGGGGCCCAAGTGTCCTGAGTGCTAGTCACACTGACCTGGCGGACTCATGAAACACAGAGGTGACATCCCCGGCCCAGGACAAATCCACACTTGGGTCCCGGCACTGCCTCTTCATCAGGCCTTTGACTACAGGACAGATGCAGCCTCTTAGTCGCAGTGTCCCTGTCCGCGGCTTGGGGATGGAACGTGAGGAGAGTGTGCGTTGTGCCCAGCACGATGCGGGGTCGGGGAACTTGACCAGTTACCATTCATTATCACCAGTTACTGCTGCTACCTCTGCACCATTTCCACGTGACTGGCGGGAAGCCACAGTCCCTGGCCAGTGGGACAGTAGCAGTCAGCCCCCAGAGGGGACCTTGCCATCCTGGTAGCTGATGCTCCCTGCCTACTGATAAATCATTCCTTGTCTCCCTCCTGCTTCCTGGGCCCTGGAAAGAGATGTCAGGGAGATTAGCTGTGAGAGCCCGAAAATGTTAGACTTTCAGAAGGTCCCTAAATTCTGACGTGGGTGTGGAAGCAGCTGCATCGGTGGTCTCAGGCATAATTGAATTACATTTGCTCCCCACCCCCAGACCTGTAGTGGATTTCCTGGTATGAGGTGTATTTTAGAACAGAGGAATCAGGGAGGAGATGGCTAGGCAACAGGATGGAGGAGAATGCATGTTCATCAGGCAGGTGCATTAGCTGCGGGGGCACTGGCAGGGGACGAGGCCTTCAGGGACCATCCAGGTCGGAATACCCATGATGTGGTCACCCTGAGGAATAGCTGTCATTTATCCATCACCTAGCACACTGCCCAACTTTTCACAGGACTGATTCCATTCATGGTGTTTCTGGAACAGACGCAGTTTGTGTGGGTTTGACTCGGTGTGTTCCTTGATAGAACTGCCCATAGGGTTTCTCGCTGCAATCTCCTTTCCCCCCTTCTTTACTTTCTTTGTTACCATTGATAATACACACGGCTCAACGTAGATCATCTCAGCACTTTGTGTTGTAAGATCTAGTTAACTGGTTGCATCCTTTGAGCTCTGCAGCTGCCCTCACCCTCCTTTCCTGAGTGACTTCTCCCACGTTGACCTAACCTCCCTGTCCCGTAGGGCCCCTTTCTAATCTGTTGAGTTGCTGACGTCTGCCTGATGCTGCCCTGACAGTCTCCCTGTCTTCGAGTCTGAGGAGCACTGGGGCTGCATTTCTCAGTCAGTTGTAATTGTTCTTTTGACAGGCTGTGGTATATTCAATACTCTTCTTCAATACCACAATCCAAAAGCACCTGTTCTCCTTTGATCTGAGGTTTGGGTGTGTCTAGGGTACAATGGGTTGATCGTCAAAATGACTTTTCTACAGTGACCTTCACGATTGAAGGCTTACCTTTGCTCTTTGAATCATTTTGTTAATAGCTATTCCTGAAAATGTGTAAGCCAGAGACTTCATGCTTCGTGCTGTGTCTCCCCCATTTCTAATCAGTTCACCAGGGCTGTCTATTACAGAGCATGGCTGCAGAGGGAACGGGCAGGAAGCCAGGCCAGGTCTGCAGATGGACATTGCCCTAGAAGGTGCTAGATGCCAGGACTGCTGTATCCATGTCCACCTGACACCCAGATTGCAAAGGGAGGCTGGGACCCGTCTCCGCTGACCCCAGCTCTCTGGAGTCTCTCTGCTGGAGATGTCTGCCAGGCGCCCTCTGCTGGCTGCTCACAGGCCTCTGAAGGATGGTCACCTCACATCATCCCTTATGACCACATGCTCTCACCTTCATCCAGCTGTTCTCACCTTCGTACAGCAGTGCCGATGCCCTGGTTCCCACTCTGCCCTTTCATTCCCACCTCGGTTCTGGTGTTTCATTCCCCTCTCAAAAAACGCCACAGTGATTGTTGTGTGTCCAGGGCTGGGAGAGCATTTGGAACTTGCTAAATCAGCTCTTATTGAGATATTTAAAACCACGAGTTGCTAAGAAACATGAAAAGGTTGTTAGTTTCTTTGGTGCTGTAGTTGGGGGCATTGGATCACAGCCATTCTCCTCTTCCTCATCAGTACATGCCGACTGTAGTATTGAGTCTTGAAGTGGACAGGACGGTGGCATCACTCATCAGGAACGTGAAAATGAAGCTCCTTTGGAAGGCTTTGTGGAGAAGTGCCTGGCTTTCCGGAGCTGGGTAATAATGGAGGTGGTACTTAGCAGGACTCTGCCCGGGGCAGACAGTCACAACTACAATCCTTTCTGCTTGTAGAAAGGTCATGCTGATGATTCCAGTAGAATGATATTCTTAATCCAGGACGATTCGGCGCTAATCAGGTATTGCTGTGTAGATGCAGAAGGGCCTGCGTGGGCCACTTAGACACTAGCTCTCTCCCCAGAAGGTTAGAGCTTGAAATCAACCCACAGGTGCCTTGGAAGAAAGGCCTGGCAATCTACCTTTGAAGGGTCATGGTCTTAAAACCCCCACACAGTCAGCTGTGCACTCCACACATGGCCTTAGTCAGCTCCAAACCACAGCCACCTCATGGGTAATTGAACAGAATCCTTGATCTTTCCCCTGCTGTGTTACATTGTTACAGTCCATTGTAACCGTCCATTGTCACAGTCACTGTATCATTGGGAGTCTTCTCTGGAGGCTGTGTGAATGGGAATCAGCTCGCCAACACTGGTTTGATACTGTCTGTGTATGTGTGTGTAGGTGCTGGTCACGGCACTAAACATGGCATTTGCTGGTGTCCGTCACATTCAGGACCTGCTTCAGGCTTTTTATTGAAGAGCTTCCTTCCCTCACGTGGGTGTTTGGGAGCCAGCTGTGTTGTGTGACCATCTGACTGCCTCACGTCCCCTTATCTCCTTCGCAGAGCCCTTGTCCGTGAAGCGGAAGAGAGGCCGGCCGAAGGGGTCCACCAAGAAGCCCTGGGCTGAAGAGGAGCTGCTGGAACGTGCTGCGAGCCCCGCGGAGGACGGGCCGAAGGCCACGGAGGAGGCGGGCAGCCCGGTGCCCGGCAGCCTGACATGCAGCAAGTGCTGCCGCAAGTTCTCCAACCCCCGCCAGCTGAGGAAGCACATCTGCATCATCGTGCTGAACCTGGGGGACGAGGACGGGGACGCAGGTAAGGGCCCCCCAGGGCCGGCTGCCGCCTCTTCCCTGCCAGCAGCCCCCACCTCTGGCACTCGGAAGGAACCCGTGTTCACATTCGCCTGCCACGTGGACGAGGACTGGCCGTGGGATGGCCACAGGCGTGTCGTGTTTTCAGTGTGCTTGGCTTTTAGTGTGTTCCGCGGATACTGTGTCTTAGTCCCCAAGGCTGCTGTGACAGGGGACCACAGTGGATGGTGTTCAGAAACGGGTGACGTCTCTCCCAGTATCGGAGGCTTTGTTGTTACGTGCCGCAGCGTCTGAACCGAGCCCCTCCCCACCTCCAGTGGGTGTTCAGAGGCTGTGCGGTGCATGGGAGGGGACGGCCCCGCTTTCTCCTGCGGAGTACCAGGCGGATTTGAACCTCAGGCCTTAGTCACTGTGAGTCATGATCAACTCAGTGGCACTCAATAACAGCAACAACCCAGAGCACGAATTCTTCAAAATTTGAAGTCAGGTCTCAAACTGAAAAATTGGGACTAAAGGAGGACCTTTAAATGAGTCTGAACAGACAGCACGCTCCAGCCCAGCACAGTGTGTCAGCCTCGGCGTATTTCCACTGAAGGCGTGTGTATTCCCTCCTCTCCGTGGGCTTCTGTCCGGCTTCGCCCGCCCCCGGAAAGGTCCCCTTTGCACGTGCTTGCTTTCTGCTCTGTGATGAGTGGTGCCTCCCCGCAGCCAGGGCCGACACAGGGGCCTCTAAAGCGGGTTAGCAGCCTGCCCCAGTCAGAAGCTCTGTGGAAAATGGCCTCGCATCACACTGATCTCAGAGACTGGCTTGGATTGTAGTTTAACCGACATGGACTGGGAAGGTGGAGGAGCTGGCCCCGCAGAACCGCTGAGAGGGGCTGCAGTGACCTCATGCCCCGCTGCCCGGTGGCTGACAGCCGGATGACTGCTCCCAGCTCTTGAGTCTGCCAACGCCAGTGTCACAATCTGGAAACTTCCTCCATCATTGTCTTAATATGGGCCTTGTAAAGAGCACTCCAGGACCTCCAGTGACTGGCCTGGACTCTTCATCTTGAAACAACAAAGAGGAAACAGAATGGCCTGCCTTGCTGTACCGAGCTGTGGCAGGTTGAAGCAGGGCCTCTGACTCGTGTTCACGGCGTATTCTTTTATTCTGCCTTTGAGTAGTAAGGGAAACCATGAGAAGAGGTTTTTACCATGCCATTATGTGCAACAGTTAGTGCATTTGACAAACATTTTGCAGCCTGCAGACGTCGGTGCATTTACAGAAGTGACTCCTGAGCCTCTCAGCGTGCTGCTTCTGCTTCTGTCTCAGCAGCTGGATTGCACAACGTGTCTTTTTCCTTGTGGGTCCTCCAAGAGAGGACGAGGCACTCACTTCATGGTTTCACCTGAGATGCACCTGTAATCATCAGGGTTGTCTCAGACAAGAGAACTGTAAGCCTCTCTCTTTCCCTGTGTCTGTGTTACTGCAAAACAGTGCGCTTGATAAAGATGCGCTTGATTGAAGATCAAAGACTCCAGCCCTCGGAAGGATTGTTCCACCTCAGTGTGAAGAAAACAGAAATCCTCACCTCAGACCCCCAGGCAGCATCGTGACAGATGGAGGAAGGACTCACTTTGTCAAGAAGTTAATTTTACTTAGACCCACAGAACCCATGGCAGCACCAGTCAGGCAGTCACATGATGTGTTGCACTGGGCAGATCAGCTGTCAAGGGCCTTTTATGGTGCTCTGGAGCACAGATATCCTTAAAGACTAAGGTGCACCTGACTCAGCTGTGGTATTTTAATTTCCTTTGTGCGCATGTGAAAGTTGGACAATGAGTAAAGAAGATTGAAGAAGAATCGATGTCTTTGGATTGTGATACTGATGAAGACTAGGAAATGCATCGTGAGCTGAAGCGCAGCCCAGCCCAGCCGATGGCCTTGGCAGGTTGTCCAGCCGGCTCCGTCTCACAGCCGCTCTGCTAAGAACACACTGCAACCTTCTTCCCCTGCTCCTTCCTCCCAGTCTCTGCCATGCTCAAGCCCTTTGCTGCATTATCCAAACCAGCCGCTGCTGAAGAAATTCCAGTTCACTGTGACCTGCTAGAGGGTTTCTGAGGCTGTAATGTTTATAGGCGGAGACTACCTGTCATTCTTCGGAGTGTCTGGTGGATTTGAACCACTGACCTTCCCTTTACTCATCCAACTTGTAACGCACTAGGCCACAAGATCTCCTTATATATGTCTGTCGGTAACTCCTTATCTCTGTCTTTCTGTGTATCTTTCTTCTATCTGTGTATCTCATTCTTCTCAGAGTCAGCCACAGCTTGTTGTGATCCACATAGTCAAAAGCCTTTGCGTAGTCAATGAAGCACAGATCAACATTCTTCTGGTATTCTCTGCTTTCTGCCAAGATCCATCTAACATTAGCTACGTTATCCCTAGTACCACAACCCCTTCTAAAACCAGCCTGCACATCTGGCAGTTCTCTGTGACTCTGAGAAGAATGGGAATCTCAGAACATTTGATTGTGCTAATGTGAAACCTATACTTGGAGCAAGAGGCAGTTGTCAGAACAGAGCAAGGAGACACTATATGGTTCAAAATCAAGAAGGGGGTCCATCAGGGATATATTTTGTCTCCATATCTTTTCAATCTGTATGCAGAACAGATCATCCGAGATGCTGGTCTGTATGAGGAGGAATGTGGCATCAGGATTGGTGGAAGAGTCATCAAGAACCTGTGTTATGTGGATGACACAACTCTGCTTGCTGAAACTGAGGAGGACCTGAAGTGCTTGCTGCAGAGGGTCAAGGACTACAGCCTCCTATATGGATTGAAGCTCAACATCAAGAAAACAAAGATTCTCACCACTGGGCCAATTGGCAGCATCAGTATTAATGATGAGGAGATTGAGATAGTTAACAGTTTTAGTTTGCTTGGCTCCACAGTCAACACTCTTGGTACCAGCAGCCAGGAAATCAAGAGACAAATTGCATTGGGGAAGTCAGCTGTCACCTCTCAAGAGCACTGAAGAGCAGCAACGTCAGGCTGGAGACTAAGGTGCACCCGATCCGGGCTGTAGTCATTGCAATTACGTGCTACGCATTGGAGAGTTGGACAGTGACTAGGGATGATAGAAAGAGAATTGATGCCTTTGAGCTGTGGTGCTGGAAAAGGGTGTTGAATATACCATGGACTGCTAGGAGAACAAACAGGTTTGTCCTGGAGAGGATGAAGTCAGAATGTTCCCTGGAGTCAAGGATTCTGAAGCTTTGTCTGACATACTTTGGGCATTTTGCAAAGAGGGACTGGTCCTTGGAGAGGGACATCATGTTTGGGAGAGTGGAGGGACAACGCAGGAGAGGAAGACCCTCGATGAGATGGATCAATTCTGTGAGTGTAGTGGTGGGAATGAGTGTGTTTGAGACGGCGAGGTTGGCACAGGATAGGACGGCATTTAGGGCTCTTGTACATGGGGTCGCTATGAGTCGATTTGATGGCACATAACAACAACAATCACCACCACATCTATGTATCTTATCTCTGTCTATCTGTGTTATCTATGTATCTTTGTCTATCTGTGTATCTGTTTATCTGTTTATCTTATCTGTCATCTGTGTATCTATGTATCTTTCTCCTGTCTATCTGGATTTATCTGAAGGTAATGGCTCACACAGGTGTAGAGCCTGGCAGGTCTCAAGTGTGTGGGTCAGTTGTCCAGCTGCAGGCCTCTCCTGACTCATGTAGCTGCAGGGCCTGTGGGCTCTCTACCCTCCGTGGACCAGCGCTGCTGCTTGTACGTGGTTGCTCCTTTCCAGAAGCCTCCTTGTGCCCGCAGCAGCTAACTCTCGTTCTCTGGGGCACAGCCCTCATGAGTGCCTGTGGGCTGTCACCTTTACCGGCCTGCATGCTAGTGGGAGGCCCTGGGGTGCCGACAGGTGAGCACTGTACCCTTTGCAGGGTGTTTGATGGTGAAAAGTCCATCTGCTTTGGCAGAAAGGCCTGCCACGTGCTTCTGAAAGGTCACGACCCAGAGCTCTATGATGGAGGACTGTGTGTTGCACCAAAGGCTCTGGGTGCCATGACTTCGCCTCCCCTGACCGTAACTGATTGTCCCTTCTTTCTTTCTTTTCTTCCCTCCCTCCCTCCTTTCCTCACCCCTCCTTCCTTCCTTCCTCCCTCCCTCCCTCTCTGTCCTTCCTTCCCTTTTCCCTCCTTTCCTCTCCACTTCCTTCCTTCCTCCCTCCTTCCCTCCTTGTCCCTCCTTCTCTTCTCCCTCCTTCCCTGTCCTTCCTTCCCTCCTCTCTTCCTTCCCCCTCCTCCCTCCCTCCCTCCTTCACTCTTTATTGCAATGATCTTAGCTCTAACAGTATTGCTTGTTTACAGTTGTCACTTTGTGATATTGCTTTAGAGGTAAATCAGTAACTCTGGTTACTTAGTCAGAGCTTGATGGTTTGAACTTCCCCAGAGGCACCTCAGGAGAGGCCTGGGAGGTCATCCGCTCCAGGTCACTGCCTTGGAAGCCCGTGGGGCAGTCCTGTGCACATGGGGGCTGCTGTGGTTGGAATGGACTGTGTGGGGAGTGGCGTGGCTTTGCTGGGCCCCCAGCCAACCCCCTTTTTGTGGAGATGAGATGTGACACCACCTGAGGGGAGCAGAGAGGGAGGTGAGGTGTACGAGCAGTTGGCGAGCAGGGCAGCCGACGGGTTTTCTCAATGGCTATACCTTCAGGCTGGACTTAACTGGGGACGGGCTCCCAGTTTATAATCCCTCGTCAGTCTGCTGCTCTGACAACCATTCCGAGCTTTTTATTAATTGACTGATAACTCTTTGCTCCCCGGGGTGTTCTGAGATTTAATTAGTTCTTGAGCAATTCGGCATCAGTACTTTAGAATATTAGTGCAGGGTTAATGATAAATGAACGCGTGTGCACGGATTTCTCTAAATGTGAGAATGTGTCTGCCTTTAACCCTTCATCTCCCGTTACCAGCCTGCCACGCCTGGCTGCAGGTGAG